AATCAGAATTGGGGGAACAACAATAATAATTAGGGCGGCAATGGAAACCAAGGGGGTTGGAATAATAATAATCAAGGCAACCGGAGGTCGGGATTTCAAAGGCCCCCTATATATCAACAACCCAAAAATCTGCCTCCATATTCATCTCAAGGGCAAAGTTCTTCAAACAATGAGATGGGGCGGATAGAGAGTATGTTCAAACAAATGATAGAAAGGAATGCTGACTCTGATGCCCAAATAGCCTCCCATACTACCTCTATTTGCAACTTGGAAGTACAAATGGGTCAAATTTCTCAAGCATTGAATACTCGCCGTAAGGGGGCACTACCAAGTGATACGGTAGTAAACCCGAAGGGTGGGAACAATACAGGCCATGCTATGGCGGTGACCACAAGAAGCGGTAGAGGTGGAAATGCAAGTACCTCTAATCCAAAGAAGATTGTGAGTGATGATGTTGTGTTGCAAGAAGATGATGAGATTCAAGCCAATGATGAGAATGTGAATAATGAAGTGATGATCAATATTGATGACAACATGGAGGAGACTCAAAATAATGTGAACTCGTCTAGGGAACATGTGATAGACATACTAGAAACGGTAGTGCCTAAAGCCAAGGCCCCTTTGCCAATGCCTCCTCCACCGTATCCTCAAAGGCTTGCAAAGCAAAATAATGAAAACCAATTCAAGAAGTTTATTGAGATGATGAAAAGTTTGTCAATCAATGTGCCCTTGGTGGAAGCTCTCGAACAAATGCCGGGATATGCCAAGTTCATGAAGGACTTGGTAACTAAGAAGAGATCTATGAATTGTGAGACCATCAAAATGACTCATCAAGTGAGTGCCATTGTGCACTCGATGGCTCCAAAGCTTGAAGATCCCCGGTGCCTCTACAATTCCATGCACCATTAGTAGCGCCGATTTTGCAAAAGCCTTGCGTGATTTGGGAGCAAGTATTAATTTGATGCCATATTCCGTGTTCAAGACACTAGGTATTGGGCAACCAAGAGCTATTTCCATGAGATTACAAATGGCGGATCAGACAATGAAAATGCCGCTTAGTATTATTGATGATGTTCTAGTCCGGGTCGACAAGTTTATTTTGCCTGCTGATTTTGTGATTCTCGACTGCGAAGTCGACTATCAGGTGCCTATAATATTAGGGAGACCTTTCTTAGCAACAGTGAAGGCATTGGTTGATGTGGAAGCAGGGGAGCTCACCTTCCGAGTGAGCAATGAAAAGGTTATATTCCACGTGTGCAAATCAATGAGGCAACCAAATAGCAATGAAGTTTTCTCTTTTGTGGATCTTGTGACGGAGGTGATAGTTGATGACACGAGTGCCATGATCAATGTGGAAGACCCTTTAGAAGCTGTGTTGTTAAACCATGAGGATGATGAAAAAGAAGGATTGGTTGAATGTTCAAATGCGTTGCAAGGAATGGGATCCTACTCATATGGGCCCAGTAAACTTTCCTTGGATTTGGAAAACCGGAAGACTCCACCAACAAAGCCCTCAATCGAGGAGCCACCAACATTGGAGTTGAAGCCTTTGCCTTCATACCTCANCGGGTGTGCCTACTATTGCTTTTTGGATGGGTACTCAGGGTACAACCAGATTCTCATTGCACTGGAAGACCAAGAGAAAACCACCTTCACATGTCCGTATGGCACATTTGCATTCTCACGGATGCCGTTTGATTTGTGTAATACACTGGCTACCTTTCAGCGGTGTATGATGGCAATATTTACGGATATAGTGGAGGACTTCCTCGAAGTGTTCATGGATAATTTTAGTGTTGTGGGGGACTCATTTGAAGAATGCTTGTATAATCTTGACAAAGTGTTGGCCCGAGTGAAGAGACCAACCTAGTGCTTAATTGGGAAAAATGCCACTTTATGGTCGAGGGGGCATTATCCTCGGCCATAAGATCTCAAAGAACGGTATTGAAGTGGACAAAGCAAAGATTGAAGCAATTTCAAAACTCCCTCCTCCTACTTCCGTCAAGAAAGTTAGGAGCTTTCTTGGGCACGCGGGGTTCTACCGAAGGTTCATCAAGGATTTCTCAAAAGTGGTGAACCCCTTGTGCAAGCTGCTAGAAAAGGATGCAAAGTTTATGTTCAATGAAGATTGCATGAAAGCTTTTGAGCTTCTCAAGTATAAATTGACAACCACTCCCATCATTACCGCACCCAATTGGAGCTTACCATTTGAGCTCATGTACGATGCTAGTGATGTTGTGGTAGGAGCGATTTTGGGGAAAAGGGTCAACAAGATAATTCATCCGGTCTATTATGTAAGAAAAATGATGAATGACGCCAAAGTCAATTATACGGTGACCAAGAAAGAGTTATTAGCCATTGTCTTCACCATGGAAAAGTTCAGGCCATATCTCATGGGTGCCAAAGTGATTGTGCACACCGATCACGTGACACTCCGTTACTTGATGACCAAAAAAGACTCGAAGACTAGGTTGATGAGATGGGTTCTTCTGCTTCAAGAGTTTGACCTTGAAATCATTGATTGAAAAGGAAGTGATAATCAAGTGGCAAACCACATATCCCGCTTAGAAGATGAGGGGAGTCCCCATGATGGCCTCGAAATTAATGATTCGTTCTTAGATGAACAACTCCTCTCCGTGTCTTTGAATGGTATGCCTTGGTTCGCCGATGTGGCTAACTTTTTTGTGACTGGCATTGTCCCGAGTGAGCTCTCTTCTAACTAAAGGAAGAAACTCAAACGGGGCATCTTGTATTATTATTGGGACGAGCCCTATCTTTTCAAGATTTGCAATGATGGTGTGATCCGGAGATGTATCCCGGGAGAGGAGAAAATGAATATTCTTGATGCTTGCCATTCCTCGCCCTACGGTGGTCATCATGGTGGGGCGAGAACTGCCTCAAAGGTTCTTAACTGTGGATTTTATTGGCCTACCCTGTATAAAGATACAAGTGAGCTTGTTAAGAGGTGTGATGAATGCTAAAGAGCTGGTGGAATTTCCAAGAAGGATGAAATGCCTCTCACCAATATTCTTGAGATCGATATTTTTGACGTGTGAGGCATAGACTTCATGGGGACTTTTGTGAGTTCGTGTGGTAGCACTTATATTCTGGTTATTGTTGATTATGTTTCCAAGTGGGTTGAAACTATAGCTTTGCCCAAAAATGAGGCACGGAGTGTGGTGGCATTCTTAAAGAAAAATATCTTCACAAGGTTTGGCACTCCTAGGGCGATCATCAGTGATGAGGGTTCTCATTTCTGCAACAAGTCCATCGACACTTTACTTTCCAAGTATGGTGTCAATCATAAGGTGTCAACACCTTATCATCCCCAGGCTAGTGGACAAGTTGAGATATCCAACAGGGAGATAAAGAGCATATTATCAAAAACTGTCAATGCAAACCGGACGGATTGGTCAAGGAAACTTGACGATGCTTTGTTGGCTTATAGAACTGTGTACAAGACTCCAATTGGTATGTCTCTGTATCGGTTGGTATTTGGAAAATCATGCCATCTTCCGGTTGAGTTAGAGCGCAAGGCCATGTGGGCGCTCAAGAAGTTAAACCTTGAATGGGATGTACAACCAATCTCTGGGTAGAGCAACTCAATGAACTTGATGAATTCCGGTTTCATGCCTATTCCAGCTCATCCTTGTATAAGGACAAGATGAAGTACTTACATGAAAAATATGCCCGGAACAAAGAATTCAAGGAGGGTGGCTTGGTTTGTCTATTCAACTCTCGGTTACGACTGTTTCCGGGAAAGCTCAAGTCAAAATGGAGTGGCCCTTTTGAGGTGGTGCACGTGACTCCGTTTGGTGCTCTTGACTTGAAAACAAAAATGGTAAAATCTTCAGAGTTAATGGGCACCGAGTGAAGCATTACCTCGGCAAGTTTGATGACAGCCATGTGGTGACCTTGATCAATTTCCAATGATGTTGGTAACATGTGTCGTGTCACGACGTTAAATCATGCGCTTCTTGGGAGGCAACCCATGTGTTTTTCTTTCTTTTTTGTCGTTCTTCTTAGATCATGCTTTATTTTGAACTAACTGGTTGTGAGCTTTGTGTAGGAATTGTTTGTGCAGTACAAGATTGTTGCTGGAAAAAATTACCTAAGTGTGGGGAATTACGCGGACCGCGCTCAAAATTTCGTGGTCAGCGAGAGCTTTTCGCGGGGGCGTAAATTGTCAGCAGACGCGGACTTGAAAAGTCCATAATATCAACTCTCTGAAGTTGTATTCATATCCGCGTTCATAATTTTTCGTTCCGCGATGATCTTCCACAGCCGCGCCTGTTAATCTGCTCTCAGCGGACCTGTTTCTGAAAAGGTTTTTTGAAAGGTAAAAAGTGCGGACCGCAGTGGAATTTCGCGGACCGCATTCAGGTAAGTCGGTTGGACCTCTGGGATTGGTATAAATAGGAAGTCCTTAGGACTTTTACACTTTTCGAACCCCCACACTCTCACCAAAATAGACCATTGTTCACCTTCCCCTTCTTACACTTTCAATTTTTCTTTTTCTTTTTTTATTTTTTTATTTTAGAAACTGAGCATTTTATTCATTTCCAAAAAATAAAATGAGCAGAGATAGTCAAAATATGATATCTCCTCCCTAGTTCATCTTGTAAGATAGAATCAACTATCTTATAACATTTTGAGATGAGGTAAATGTATTTGAAAGAAAATGAGGATCCCAACCTATACAATAGTTAGTACCCCTACACATGTACAAAAAATGATGATCATGGTTGTTCAAAGGCTATGTTTGATTTTTTCAATTTGGACCTTCGAAGAACAGGCATATTCCACCTATCCATATTCATCAAACCTCTCACTTGAGGTGGTAGATCATCAAAATCATGAAATACTTGAGCGTGAGTGAGAATATGACTGAGACTAGCGAGCTTATCGACAACTTGATTACTCTCTCTGTAGCAGTGTTTAAGGGTGAGTCTTGAATGAACCATGACTTCTTTAAGCTCCTATATGTCTTTTGAGATCCTTCAGGGAATTGCATATCGACCATTTATGCATTCTACAAGCAACTTTGAATCACTTTTAGCACTAATATATTGCAACCCATTTGACAAGCACCAATTAATGCCATAATGCAGAGCAGATGCCTCTGCCCAGTTACTAGTATCAGTGCCGAGAGGTAGGGAGTATGCAAAAATAAGATAGCCATATTTGTCTCTAATCACACCTCCACCACCATAATTACCATCTTTACAGCTACCATCGGAATTTAGTTTGACAAATTGAGGAGTAGGCCTGGTCCATTTAACAATAATGGATTTTTCAAAGAGAATTGTGCTTCTCATAAGCTTGATAAAGTCATCCCAGTTAGGAGTCAATGGAAATTGCTGGAATTGAGTATTACCTAGTTGAGTTACAGAGAAAAGTATTAAAGAAAGGGATCTCCTCACATTTATTCTAACATTGTCATATTTTTCCTTGCACTCCAAATTGCCCAAGAGGCAATAACAGGCAAACATCTAACAATGAGTGTATGGACTGGATTTCTAACCTTGCACCTCCACCAATTCACCATTAATTGTCTATATAGAATGTATGAGAATGCAATGCCCATAGTTCCACATAAAGTTTTCCATAACTCTTTCGTAAATGAGCCATCGCAAAATAAATGATCTATAGTTTCTACACCCGGAGAACCACAACAGCAACATCTGGGAGATATAGAGTATCCCAACCTGGTCACCCTTGTATCAGTAGGAATATTATCCCTCAAGGCCCTCCAAACAATAAAATTCATCTTGAAAGGAACACATTTTTGCCAATTCATAATATTCACCCAAGATTTCTGTTTCTTTTTTCTAAATAACTGCCAGGCCGAGGCCACAGAAAAGGTTCCATTATTGTCAGCTATCCATTTTGGATCATCAGGAGTTGCAGGATTCAACCTAATCTGTAGGTTATTAATTTTATCCACAACATGTGGAGGAAGCAGAAGATCCAGATCTTCCCAATTAATATGGTTGTTCAAAAATATATCAGAAAGCTTCACATTCTTAGGTTTATGGTTCAGAGATAAGAAGTTACATAAGGAACCCAACTCTGACCAGTTATCAAACCAAAAGGATACATCGCCTCTTCCAATCTTCCATAGAATTTATTTGTTAATAATCTTTTTGATCTTGCACATAGAATTCCACGACTGAGATTGGCCAGAATACCATCGCTTGACTAAAGGATGGATTCTCTAACAATATTTTGCCATAAGAAAACTCTTCCACAAGGATTGGCCTGTTCTAAAGTTCCACCATTGTTTTATTGTGAACGCATTACAAATGTCCTGAAGTTTTCTGAAATTAGTACCTCCCTCTTCATACGGAAAATAAAGATTATCCCACGAAGCCCAGTGGTATCTTTTCTTTTCTGCTGAACCTCCCCAAAAAAATCTGTTCAACACTCTTTCTATCTGGTTAAGATCACCTTTTGGGGGATGGATTGCGGCTAGAAGATGAGTTGGTAATGCCATCAGTACATGTCTGATTAATACTGCCCTACCACCAGTGGAGAAAAATTTTGAATGCCACCCTGAGATTTTGTTGATAACTTTGGTTATCATTTCAGAGAATATGGAAATCTTTTTCCTCCCAACATATAGCGGACAACCCAAGTATTTGATAGGTAGGACTTTATGCTCCATCTGAGTGATCCCTTCCACCCTTGAGATCTCATCTGGTGGTGTGTTGGGAGCAAGGATAACACATGACTTTTTCTTATTGACCAATTGTCCTGAGATTTTCTCATATCCAGTAAGAGCCTCCATCAAAAGTATCAACGATTTCCTGCATCCACTAGAAAAAAGAATGATATCATCTGCATAGGCAAGATGATTAATTAAGGGTCCATTCTTATTCATATGAAAACCTTTATAATCATCAAGAGAAGTAATAAGATTTAATTTTCTAGAAAGATGTTCAGCACATATGACAAAGAGAGAAGTAGAGATAGGATCTTCTTGTCTTAGACCTCTTTCAGATTTGAAAAAAGCTTGTCTAGTGCCATTAGCAAGTAAAGAATACCAATTACTAGAGATATGTCTAAAAATAATATCAATCCATGTCTCACAAAATCCAAGTTGCCGCTTAAGAACACATAGATATGACCATGACACCCTATCATATGCCTTGGCCATATCCAGTTTCAAAATAATATTTCCTTTCTCATTTGGTTTTCCAATATCTTGAATGATTTCTTGTGCAAGTAAAATATTTTCTGTAATGGCTCTACCTTTTACAAAGCCACTTTGATTCCAGCTAATCAAATCAGGTAAAATAATGCTCAATCTAGAATTAGGTAACTTAGCAAAGAGTTTACTAATAACATTGCACAGGCTAATAGGTCTTATGTCATTAAAATATTGGGGAGAGGGTACTTTGGGAAGCATGACTATGCATGTATGTGTAAACCACCTAGGAAGTTCTGCTCCATAAAAAATAGAAATAAATGATTGAACAATATTAGAAGCTACAATCGACCAACAGGTTTGAAATTTTTTTGCAGTAGGCAACGCAATCAACTTGTGATTAACATCCTCTGAAATAGCATGTTTTATAATATCCAAATTAAAGAAATCATTCTGCTCATGTTTTTGGGAGAAAAGTCCTCGAAAATATCTCACTGCAGCTTCTGAGACCTCCTTAGTCCCTTCCACCCATTGAAAAAATTCATTATGGATCTTGTTAATGCGCAATGTCCTTCTCTTATCTTTTATGACATTGTGGAAGTAGGCAGTGTTAGAATCACCATCAGTTAGCCATTTAACTCTAGCCTTTTGTCTTAAAATAGAATCATGAATCTTGAGATATCTGAAGTACTCTGCCCTGATTTTGTTCAAGTTGGTTCTATTAACATCACTGTTATCATTTATGGTAAGAAGTTCAAGATTGGAGATTTCCAATTCCAATCTTTTAGATTCTTCATGGATATCTCCATAAGCCTCCCTATACCAAGAACTAAGTCTGGATGCCGTCTTCTTCAACTTCTGATGCAGGATCCATAAAGGATTGCCTTGGCAATCTTCTTCCCATATATTTTTAACCACATCAAGAAAATCCACATGCTCAGTCCAGAAATTGAGAAATTTGAAGTATTTAACATATGTCTCCTCTATATGGCAGAATTGAGCTAAGAGTGGCACATGATCAGAGCAAGCACTGGCCAAATGTGTAACAGTAGTTCTACCAAACAGGCTAAACCACTCAGAGTTGTATACCATCCTATCCAATCTCTTCCAAATAGTATCAGGAGTTCCTCTGTTGTTGTACCATGTAACAATATTCCCTAGAAAACCTGCATCTTGCAAACCACATTCTGTCAAACATTCCAAAAAATCAAAACTTTTGTCAATTCTATAAGGATTTCCTCTATTATTTTCCTCATGATCGGAGATGACATTAAAATCACCTATAATAGCCCATGGTCCCTTATGTGAAACAGAAAAGTTAACCAAGTTAGCCCATAATTCTTTTCTCAAATTGGATCTACATTTAGCATACATAGTGGAAAAGTGAAATTCTATATTAGAGATAATATGGTGGATCTTACAAGAGACAATTTGATCAGTATCATTAACTATGTTAACATCTAAATCTTTGGACCAAAAAATCTAAATTTTATTATTGACATTAGAGTAACAGTAGTTCATATCAAGCTGATTCATGTATTAATTCATTTTTATCCCTTTCACCTTAGGTTCTTGCAAATCCACATCTAGTATACTCAAATCTTTACATTAATTTCATCTTTTAATTTTCTTTTCTTCTAGTTTTACTTTTTCTTTTTTAGGGTTTAACACATATCATGATTTCAAAATGATGCTTGATTGAAGCTAAAATTGCATGTGGGTAATGTTTAATGCCTAATGGGGGATAGGGTTATTCACTATGCCTGTTAATTGCCTAAATATTTGCACTAAGTGAAATCCTAAGTCTTAAATAATTCATCAATGCCAGTATGATTTGAATTTCGCGGACCGCGGTCCAAATTATGCGGTCCGCGTTCATGCTTTTGTGCGAACTGGGTAGGCTTATATGTTCGCGAACGCGGTGATTTTTCCGCGGTCAGCGGTTGACTTTACGCGGCCGCGTCCATAATTTTGTGGACCGCGTTCGTGAGCTTCAAAGAATTAACAAATTGATTCCGCGGTCGCGTTCATTTTTACGCATTCCGCGTTTGTTATTTCGCGGCCGCGCCCATTATTTCGCGGTCAGCAGAAACCAATGTTTAGAGAGTTGGTATTCTGGTCACCAACTCTTTCGCGGCCGCGCTCCTTTTTATGCGGACCGCGCTGACCCTTCTGCGGCCGCGCTCCTTTTTACGCTGCCAGCGGACCCCTGCTTTGAGAAACACTGTGATCATTTCATCTGCTTTCCTTTGCTAATTTATTGAACTACAATACTAATGAGCTTTCACTGATTGTGTATACAGATAATAGTGTGATCTCGTGGCAGTCCTGAGAAATCACAAGGGAGGGGAGAATCCTCCCGAGGCTGGGGCAGAGGGAAACAGACTGCACCCCTAGCACCTAAAAGGGTCATTGGCAAGAAGCAAACCCTCCGAAGACCCACTCCCGACTCTTCTGAGACTAGTGAATATGTCCCCTCCTGGGAGATTTCTGAAGGGGAAGCTACACAACCCCAACAAGAGGCTCAATCACAGCCCTACCACCTCGTCAATGTATCTACCTCCTTGTCTGGGTCGTCTGATGGCTTAGGAGGAGGTAGTGAGACTTCGACACCACCTGCCCCACCTGCTGCAATACAGGCCTCAACAACGGCTCCAATTAATATTGATGATGAAGAGGATGTCCCGGATGACGGGAGAGGTGGTGATACCCGGGTCGGAGGTTTGGTGAGATCAAGAAAGACCGCAGTATGGCAAGATAGATTTGTCAGTGAAAAAGCCTACCACAAGTTTCGGGAATGGTGGCCACTAAGTTCGCTCACTCTCGAGAGGGATTTCATAGAAAGAGATCTTCTACCCCACAACCCCAATGTGAAGAAGTAATTTGATGAAAGAGTGGGGTGAAAATTCTTTACTAGCAAGCTACCAGAGGCCAATGAGTACTTAGTCAAAGAATTTTACGCCAATGTCGCCCACATCAAAAAGGGCACCTATGTGACTAAGGTACGGAACCGGAAGATCAGATTTGATGGCAAGACACTGAACACACATGCCAGGTTCGATGATGTGGACGAATCCCTGTACTTGGAAAATGTGGCATTAGATGAGGCATCCCGTCCATGGCTTGTAGAGGTGATAGCCATCCCTTAGACAACACCGGCTTGGCTTACACCTAGGGTCCAAATTTCTAGGAATACTACGAACTTTGAAGAAAAAGGATGGTGCACCTTCGTTTGTAGCCGGCTAGACCCATCTCAGCATGATAGTGATATCCCAGTCTCCCGGGAAATTGTTATGGCTTCTATCATGGAGGGGTTCCCAATAAATGTGGGAAACATCATGGCCAGAAACATCACCAAAGTTATCGGGAAGGAAGAAACATCATACCCGTTCCCCAACTTCCTCACCATGTATTTAGAGGACCAAGATGTAGAAGGGAGGGATTTTGACATAAAGGTGAAGCCAAAAAGGCCCTTCTCTTGGTATAGCCTTCAGGGAGCGGACAATCCCAAGTCTAAAGGCAAATCCACTACCTCCGCTGGCCAGTCTGAAGAGCCAAGGGTAGTGGCCACTGGGTTCGAGCCTTCCACAGCCGAAGGTTCATCTGCTTCTATGCCACCTCTTTCCTTAGGGCCATCTGTCCCTGCCCCACTATCCGTGCATTCCTCCTCAGCTTACCCTCAGACTACACTGCAGGTTAATCAGACTTTATCCAGCATCAACAACTGGATGCAGGTAGCTACATCAAAGCTACCTGCCTTATCTAGTGTAGTCGCAGCACAGGTAGCTCCAGCATAGCTTCAGATGCCTCCGTCAGTGGAGGATTCATTGAAGAAGATCCTTGACAACTAAAAGAAAATTCTGGAGACTCTGGGTACTCATGAGAAGGTAATCAAGGAGATGGGAAAATAGGTCAAGAAGGTGAAGAAGAATCAAGAGCTATTAAAGAAGGAGGTGGAAAAGCTTACTTCCGCCGGAGATATTCCTCTGGACCTCCTTATGGAGGAGACTGTACCAGCAGCACAAACAGCACATGCATCAGAGCAAGAGGCTGACAGAGAGCCGGTGAGAAGATTTGTGGTACCCCAGACCGAGGACTTGGAGATTCAGTTAGAGGATCCTGATGGAGCTGATAAGCCTACACAGTCTGAGGACCCTACCAGAGTACCTGATCCCATGCAGACAAAGACCACATAGGGAGTTTTCTTTACTTTCTATCCCTCCCCTGATCTTATTTTTACTTTTAGTATTGATGATAATGCTAACTTCTATTTGGGGGTGGTCTTATTTTGATTTGATGACTTTGATGATTGGCATATAATAATTCTGATACTATTTTTCTTTATTTTTACTTATCGTTATTTGCATTTTCGTTATTTGCATTTTTGTTAATTTTCACTTTTGGTATGTATATAACTTTACCATTCCATGTATATATTCATCCCTATTTTGTGTATATCCGTTTCACTCCCTTATTGTACATATTCATTTTACTTTCCGTATTTTACTTTATAACTTCTTTTGTAATTTTCCTTAATAGCATAGCTTCTTATTTCCTTTAGTAGCTTCTTTTTGAATTTGTAGCCTCTTTTTACATTTCTGCATGATCAATAAGCCTTTGATTTTCTTAATGCCATGGTTCTTTCCAAAGGTGGATGTTGTGTGAACCGGGTGGCTCTTCCCAATGATGGATGGCGTGACAACCTTCTTAAGGGATTGAGTCTGTTTTTCTTTCTGTTTTGATTTATAGTAGTAATGAATAAAAGTGTCTCAAGTAGGCTTCACTTGGCACTAACACATTTACCTTCGACCTCATGATTAGAGACAATTATGTTGATGAGATTAGCTCTAGTTGTGACCTTTAGACTCTTAAGTTGACTAAAACTATCATCAAGTGGTTTATGTGAGCCATTTGTGATCTTTAATCTTAGCTGGGGTTATTGTGGGCCCTCGACTCTATTCTCTTTAACAATTCAGTATCTTGAGAGGTGAGGTGTTGAATTGCAAGTCCAAGTCCCGTGCCAACAAGTCTAGAACTTACCCTGAATATTTTTCTAGGCGAAATTCTAAGTGTAGCTCGACTTGAGAAGTGATTATAGGATCTCCTTGGTCCCATTTGAACTTTGAAAATTCTGCATCCTACTATTATGATATCTTTAGTCAACCCCTTTGAGCCTAAGCCTTTTTCATTCAATAACCACATTACAAGCCCTCATCCATTTTATAATGACCCTCTCTTGGCACCCAATCTTTCCTTAGCATTCATGATGAACATTTGGCAAAAACATAAGTTTGGGGGAGAGACTAAAAATTTCAAAGTGATGAAAGGTTCAAATAACAAAAAGAATTGATAAAAAGGAAAGGCAAAGAAAGGATGAAAAAACAAAAAGAAGCATGTCAAAAAGAAAGTAAAGGTTGAAAGGATTCAAGAAAATAATGTTGAAAGGCATGGAATAAAAAAAATGATTGTCATGAAAAAGAAAGAGTGAAAATGTGTCTCTCTAGTTCCCCTAAGGAAGAAGAAAATGACTCAAAAGGGTCAAGAAAGTATGAGCCGAAATGAGAAAACGGAGTGCTTAAGGAAAGATGATACCATCATAGTTCATTATGTCCTACCTTTGTGAGCACGTGATTTTTGCCCGACTAAAATATTCCTATAGAAATTCACAAATAGATTTTT